TAAAGATCCTTCTGAATTCCAGCACCACTGCGCCTAGACTTCTTCCCAGCCCCGTAGGCTCAGTTTGTTGCCTCATTATATCTTACAATGTCTGGAAAACATTAAAGGCGCAAAAAGCTAGCCATCCCCCTCCTCTCACAGGCTTCTTGCTTTAGACACATATATGTCTGTTAAATAAAACTTCATTGTGACTTTAATTTCATCGGAGAGGGGGAAAGAGGAGAAGAGAATGTTAATGTTTTGTTGCCAATGCGATACAGTGAATTGCTTTCTATTTGTATCTATCCAGGCTTGGCAGAATTCAATTTTTTTTTTAATAATTTCAATGGCTATATCAATGTTTTTTGTAAGCTTTTTTATTTTTCTCTATCTTAGTTTCACAGTTCTGCAAAAATTATGGGGTTTTAAGCATTTTTTTCATCAATTTAAATGTTCATAGTTCCAGGAAATTGGGGGAGGTCAGATAATTATTAAATTACAGTAGACTTTGAGATTCAAAAAGTTTAAGCTTTATAATCACTAAAAAACAATTTGTCAACATCAATTTCTCAACATCACATGTCAAAATATACAAAGTATCATAGAATCATAGAATATCAGGGTTGGAAGGGACCCCAGAAGGTCATCTAGTCCAACCCCCTGCTCGAAGCAGGACCAATTCCCAGTTAAATCATCCCAGCCAGGGCTTTCTCAAGCCTGACCTTAAAAACCTCTAAGGAAGGAGATTCTACCACCTCCCTAGGTAACGCATTCCAGTGTTTCACCACCCTCTTAGTGAAAAAGTTTTTTCTAATATCCAATCTAAACCTCCCCCACTGCAACTTGAGACCATTACTCCTCGTTCTGTCATCTGCTACCATTGAGAACAGTCTAGAGCCATCCTCTTTGGAACCCCCTTTCAGGTAGTTGAAAGCAGCTATCAAATCCCCCCTCATTCTTCTCTTCTGCAGGCTAAAAAATCCCAGCTCCCTCAGCCTCTCCTCATAAGTCATGTGTTCCAGACCCCTAATCATTTTTGTTGCCCTTTGCTGGACTCTCTCCAATTTATCCACATCCTTCTTGAAGTGTGGGGCCCAAAACTGGACACAGTACTCCAGATGAGGCCTCACCAATGTCGAATAGAGGGGAACGATCACGTCCCTCGATCTGCTCGCTATGCCCCTACTTATACATCCCAAAATGCCATTGGCCTTCTTGGCAACAAGGGCACACTGCTGACTCATATCCAGCTTCTCGTCCACTGTCACCCCTAGGTCCTTTTCCGCAGAACTGCTGCCTAGCCATTCAGTCCCTAGTCTGTAGCTGTGCATTGGGTTCTTCCGTCCTAAGTGCAGGACCCTGCACTTATCCTTATTGAACCTCATCAGATTTCTTTTGGCCCAATCCTCCAATTTGTCTAGGTCCTTCTGTATCCTATCCCTCCCCTCCAGCGTATCTACCACTCCTCCCAGTTTAGTATCATCCGCAAATTTGCTGAGAGTGCAATCCACACCATCCTCCAGATCATTTATGAAGATATTGAACAAAACCGGCCCCAGGACCGACCCTTGGGGCACTCCACTTGATACCGGCTGCCAACTAGACATGGAGCCATTGATCACTACCCGTTGAGCCCGACAATCTAGCCAGCTTTCTACCCACCTTATAGTGCATTCATCCAGCCCATACTTCCTTAACTTGCTGACAAGAATACTGTGGGAGACCGTGTCAAAAGCTTTGCTAAAGTCAAGAAACAATACATCCACTGCTTTCCCTTCATCCACAGAACCAGTAATCTCATCATAAAAGGCGATTAGATTAGTCAGGCATGACCTTCCCTTGGTGAATCCATGCTGGCTGTTCCTGATCACTTTCCTCTCATGCAAGTGCTTCAGGATTGATTCTTTGAGGACCTGCTCCATGATTTTTCCAGGGACTGAGGTGAGGCTGACTGGCCTGTAGTTCCCAGGATCCTCCTCCTTCCCTTTTTTAAAGATTGGCACTACATTAGCCTTTTTCCAGTCATCCGGGACTTCCCCGGTTCGCCACGAGTTTTCAAAGATAATGGCCAATGGCTCTGCAATCACAGCCGCCAATTCCTTCAGCACTCTCGGATGCAACTCGTCCAGCCCCATGGACTTGTGCACGTCCAGCTTTTCTAAATAGTCCCTAACCACCTCTATCTCCACAGAGGGCTGGCCATCTCTTCCCCATTTTGTGATGCCCAGCGCAGCAGCCTGGGAGCTGACCTTGTTAGTGAAAACAGAGGCAAAAAAAGCATTGAGTACATTAGCTTTTTCCACATCCTCTGTCACTAGGTTGCCTCCCTCATTCAGTAAGGGGCCCACACTTTCCTTGGCTTTCTTCTTGTTGCCAACATACCTGAAGAAACCCTTCTTGTTACTCTTAACATCTCTTGCTAGCTGCAGCTCCAGTAAATATCCTTAAATCAAATTCTAAGTTCTCAAGTAGCATTCTTCTTACTTTGCCTCTATAAATTTGTTAACTTTTTTGTGTACAATGAAATCAATGCTTACAGACATTTACTGATAATCTAATCTCTTCATGCCTCTCTCATATTATATATGTCATAAATATAAAGGGAAGGCTAACCACCTTTAAATCCCTCCTGGCCAGAGGAAAAAACCCTTTCACCTGTAAAGGGTTAAGAAGCTAAAGCTAACCTTGCTAGCACCTGACCAAAATGACCAATGAGGAGACAAGAGACTTTCAAAGCTGGGGGGAGGAAACAAAGTGTTCTCTCTGTCTGTGTGTTGCTTTTGCCAGGACCAGAGCAGGAATGCAGGTCATAACTCCTGTAAAGAGTTAATAAGCAATCTAGTTAGAGATGCATTAGATTCTGTTTTGTTTAAATGGCTGATAAAATAAGTTGTGTTGAATGGAATGTATATTCCTGTTTTTGTGTCTTTTTGTAACTTAAGGTTTTGCCTAGAGGGATTCTCTGTGTTTTGAATCTGATTACCCTGTAAGGTATTTACCATCCTAATTTTATAGAGGTGATTCTTTTACTTTTTCTCCAATTAAAATTCTTCTTTTAAGAAACTGATTGCTTTTTCATTTGTTCTTAAGATCCAAGGATTTGGGTCTGTGTTCACCTATGCAAATTGGTGAGGATTTTTATCAAGCCTTCCCCAGGAAAGGGGGTGTAGGGTTTGGGAGGATTTTGGGGGGAAAGACGTTTCCAAGCGGGCTCTTTCCGTATTATATATTTGTTAGACATTTGGTGGTGGCAGCAATAAAGTCCAGGGGAAAAAGGTAAAACAGTTTGTACCTTGGAGAAGTTTTAACCTAAGCTGGTAAAAATAAGCTTAGGGGGCTCTTCATTTAGGTCCCCACATCTGTACCCTAGAGTTCAGAGTGGGGAAGGAACCTTGACTATATATATATCCATTGCCCTTTAATCGTCAGAACTTGTGTTACTTAGGTGAAACACTTGTGTTGTTTTTTTCTGGGTTTTTTTGCATGGGGGGCAGTTAGTTTCTCTCTGCAGTTTTACTAAATAGCCATGACCCAGTTCACGGTCTATGGGAGCCAATGTTACAATCAGGATGATTTAAGACTGTTAAAACATAGCTGCACTTTTGGTGAAGTGGGAGAAGACAATTGTTCAGATAATATCAAATTGAATAATTCTTTAATTTCAGATGTTAAAAAGGTCTCTGTTTTAGCATTAGTCCTTGCAACATTAGTAAAAGTTTGATCAGTGTTCCCTACACTCTTCTCCTGTCTGGAGTAACATTGTAAGCAGAACACTCCTGTAGTTCAAAAAGCCTACAGGAAAGTACCGCCTATGAGTTGCATAATAAAGTAAAATAAATTCTCTCTTTACAGATTGAAGACGATTTGCTTGCTTTTTTAACTTTGCACATTTCACCTCATCAGTAGGCTCAGTGAAATGCCAAAACTTCCAAGCAAGGCCGTTAACAAACAGTAAAAATGTTGCTATTTGTTACAGATGAACAACTGTCATTACAAAAGTTCTACGGATTACCCTACCAAAATAACCACCAAAACCACACAGCCTCTGAAACTGGAAGCAATGAATGGTGTTAGCACAATAAGGCCTATAAAGTGGACTGCAAATAGAAGAAAGCCTGCACACTCTCCTCAACTTTGGTAGCAACTAAATGGATACAAGTGAGCAGATTTTAATATTTGCATCTTAGTTTTCTCTTCCCCTTTATTTATTCCTTTCTTCCTGCATTCTTGTTTTCCACATTAACATTACATACTTTATACATGATTTTCCTACCACAGGTAAATGTGAACCATATCTGTGACTTACCTGAATATCTATCATTAGTATAATTAACTGTTTAGTTGTAAACTTACAAGACTTCTAGTCACACAGAAAACACTAACTCTTTATTTTACTCAGTTTATAAAATAGACAAACACTGGATGCAAAAAAATACTTGTCTACATTGTCACATTTTTTTTTTTAAACTTACCACTCCACACATCGGTTTATATTCTCCTAAGTACTGTGTGTTAGGACTAGTTCATAAGTTAATCTCCCTCTCAATTTCTCTACTGCTCTGGAGAGGGTGTAGAGACTGTTCTAGGTCTATATTTGGTGCAGCACATGTCTGCTGATGTGCCAGCACACTATGCTGAAGCCTGGCAGGCACATTGGGAGGGATGGAGTCAAGGCTACACCTATTCTACCATTCCCACCTACTTTGGGGGGAACAACAATACATAGCAAGCTCTGCAGAACCCATTTTCCCTCCGTCTCTATATGCCGTGATATGGGTAGCCAGCACAAGGCAGTGAGGCATAAAACACCCACTTCACTAACTTGTGTAATCATGAGTACAGGGCCATAATCTGGGCTTTAGCTAATTAAGTCGTTACAGCAAGTCAAAGACACTTTCACAGCAGACTGAATTTGTCAGATGCGTATTTACTTTAAGCCTACTGAATTATGATCTGGTTCATCTTCCCCACCCCCAGATCCGAACAGACGGGCCCCATTGTGAAAGGCATTTGCAACTCACCATAAGACACTCCCTGGAGATCACAAACGTCCAGTTGTGCCCACCGACTGAACACAAAGGAAGAATCGCTGTTCACTCGACAGATGTAAAACCCAGAATCATTTACACTCACTGGGTTAAAAATCAACTCTGGGGAAGTCCCATGTGGAACCTGTGTTACATATGAGCCACAGAAAAACTTAACTTAGACTGACTGGTGCTGGTTTGGGGTAAACATTAGAATATTTGTTTCTAGCAAGGACAGTACTCCTGACTACTAGTGCAGCAAAAGACTATACATGAAAATAAATTTACCTTTAGCAGATAAGAATCAAAACTGTATAGTAAATAGTGCAATTATTATACACATTTCAGTAACTTGGAGACAATCTCTATCTGGATCAAACTAATTTAACATCTTGCTTAAGGCCTAAAAGTGATCTAACACTAGATCTTAAAAATGGACTTTAATATCATTGCTAATGTAAGAGTTCATCAATAGGCATTCCTCTTACAGGAAGATACACCTGGATAAGGGGTGGGGTGGGGGGCATTGGAGAAATTTGTGTTCCTTTTTAACTGCGGAATGCTACTCAGGCTATAGGAATATGGGGCGGGTGCAGGAATTTAAATTTGACCGCTTTTGGAGGGACACGTTAAGCAAATGATGTTATGAGAAAAGACAGCACACCCTCGCCATAACGAACCCCTGGGGATCCAAGTCATTTGACCATTATAGCCAGAGGTTCATAGCAAGAGAGGGCGGACACAGCAGGGACAGCAGAGCTCCTCCAGCAGGAGCTAATACCTCCTTCAGCCGCAGTGGTCCTGGGGCCAGAAGAACTCACTCTGTGACCCTGCTGATTATTGGAGGGGCCTGTGCCCCTGTTTTCCCCCATTTTGCACGCCCCTGGGAATAGGGCCATCCCTAGCTATTCTGGGGCCCTACGCAGCCCCCCTGCAGGGGGGGACAGGCCTCTGCGGGGGTGGGAGGGGCTGTCTTGGGGCGTGGGGGGAACCACTCTCCAGCAGTCACTGGTGGCGCGACTGGGGCTGGGTCCCTGCACTTCCCGCTGCCGGTGAGTGCAGGCCCAGCCCTGCTACGCTCCTCAGCGGTGGGAAGAGGCAGGGCTGGAGCAGAGCAGGGCGGGGGCTTTGGGGAAGGGGTGGAGTCGGGGCAGGGCTGCGGTGAAGCAGGGGTGGGAAGAGGCGGGGCTGGGGCAGGGGGCCTGGGAAAGAGGCGGGGCTGGGGCTGGACCAGCATGCAGCTGCGGAGGGCATCAGGAAATTTGGTGCCCCAAGTTTCCTGGTGCCCTACGTAGCTGTGTACTTTGCATATAGGTAAGGATGGCCCTGCTTGGGAATATCAACTCAGACCCACTTCAACAATTTATTTTATTGGTCATATTTGTGACATGCTCACTTTAAGCCTTCAGCCCTTCAGTTCTAGGTGACCAGTTCCAACATGTTCTAGTGCTATAGCAACTGGAAGTTGTTACATTCCAACAGAGATTGAATGGCCTGAGGTAAATGAGTTGGTGGTCTCAGTCCAGTTCTCTCACATTTCCAGTTGGTGCCATTCTTGCAGGATCACAGAATCCATTGGTCACGCTGGACCTGTAGACTGGACTATTCTCTAGACACTGTCACAGACAGTTGAAGCACATGACATCTGAAGGGTGATGTGGGAAAACTTTAATGGACATAACCTGTGCTGTACTACTTCTGTGACAAGAGTACTGAGGGTTCTGCTCTTTCGGGTTGCCAATCTGGAAAGTTTCACCATAAATGTTCTTAAAAATATCTGTGAGCCAGTTGGGGAATAGGGAAGATGAACTCCAGTTTTTTGTAAGGATTTATATTCTGTAGACTGACTTTACCCAATACTTCCATCGAATCCTTGAGATTTCCTATATTTGGTTATTACCTCTTTTTTCTGTTTGAACCACTGATAATGCAGAAATGGATATCCAGTTGCCCAACAACATAGTTTGACCGTTTGTCCAGATAATACTGACTTAGGGTCTGGCTGTACAACAATCTTTATACCTTAAAAAAAAAAAAAGGAGAAGTTAAGACATTGCAACAAGAATGAACTTGCTTCCATTTGTCTTTTGTAAGTTAAATATTGTTATACGATTAGAACTGCGCTGCTGAATTTTTGCAGTTTACCTACTGCACGTACTTTACAATTGTCTGAAGTGATGAAGATTAGTTGTAAGTGGTATGTTGATGATTAAATAAGATTTATTTAATATTAAAAATTGTTACCTTATTTAACATTTTTACTGCCACAATTTTAACAAACTTGTGGTTGGGAGTCTGTTGCCAGAGAAAGGATTTAACTTTTTGTACATTAGGCAAGTTCTTTTAAAATGTGTATTAAATACAAAGGAATTCACAAATTACACTTACACCCACTTTAAGGCCCCAATACACTGCCTCAGTGCAGTATAGGGGACTCAGTATGAATGAGAATCAGGCCTTTTAAATGTTTTGTTCTGTTCTTAATATGTTACTGTCTGATATCTCATTTATTTTATCGATGGTTGAATTTATCCAACAAAAATTAGTTTAGTCAAAAAGGGACATTTCTAAACTGAATTTTCATGAAGACTTTTTCTCCCCAAATGGTTTTTGCATTTTTGACAAAAATTTTAAGTGTACATATATTCATTCACCTGTTGGCTTTTCGGTGTGTGTGGGCCTTTTTCCCCTATTTTGATTGATCGGTCTAGTCACATGGTGGGAATATTTTCAAGATGAGGAAAGTAGACCTGAAGGAAGGTCCAGTGCTTAGGGCACTAGCCTAAGATTTGGGAGACCAGCGTTCAGTTTCCTGCTCTACCACAGACTTACTGTGATCTTGGGCAAGTCACTCAGGGGTTGTCTGTATGGGGAAACTGACCAGAACAGTTAGTATGGAATAAGCTAGTCTGCAATAGCTTCCCATCTGGATACTCTTACTCCAACATAAGTGTCCAGTGAGGAGTTATTGTGGAAAAGCTATGACACTTTAAATTCACACTAACTTATCCTAAAATAACTTCCCCATGTAAACAAGCCCTCAGTCTCTGTCCATCAGTTTCCCATCTGTAAAAATAGGGATAATAGCACTTTCCTACCTTACAGGAGTATTTGTGAATCACAGAATCATAGAAATGTAAGGCTGGAAGGGATCTCCATAAGTCACCAACTCCAGCCCCAGCATTGAGGCAGGACCAAGTAAACCTAGATCACCCTTGACAAGTGTTGTCTAACCTGTTTTTGAGAAACCTCTAATGATGGGTATTGCACAACTTCCCTTGGAAACCTACTCCAGAGCTTAACTAACCTTATAGATAGAAAGTTTTTTTCCTAATATCTAACCTAAATCTCCCTTCTGCAGATTACTTCTTGATCTAGCTTCAGTGGATCTAAAAAACAATTGAGCCCTCTGTTCTTTGTAACAGCCCTTAACATATTTGAAAACGTATCAGGTTCCCACTCAGTGTTTTCTAAAGATTAAATATATCCATTATTTTAATCTTTTCCTCATAGGTTAGGTTTTCTAACCCTTTTATCATTTTGGTTGCTCTCCTCTGGACTCTCGCCAGTTTGTCCACATCTTTCCTAAAGTGTGGCATCCAGAATTGGTCACAGGACTCCAGATGAGGCCTCACCAGTGCTGAGTAGAGCAGGACTATTAACTGCAATGTTTTACTTACACCACTTTTGTTAATACACCCCAGCACTATGTTACCCTTTTCACAACTGCATCACACTGTGATCCACTATAACCCCAGATCCTTTTCAGCGGTACTACCACCTAGCAGTTATTCCCCATTTTGTAGCTGTGCACTTGATTTGTCCTTCCTAAGTTAAATACTTTGCACTTGTCTTTATTGAATTTCATCTTGTTGATTTCAGACCAATTCTCCAATTTGTCAAGGTCATTTTGAATTCTAATCCTTTCCTCCAAAGAGCTTGTGACCTCTCTCAGCTTGGTATCATCAGCAAATTTTCTAAGCACACTCTTCACTCCATTATCCAAGCCATTAATGAAAATGCTGAATAGTACTGGACCCCAGATGGACCCCTGCAGGATCCTAGTTTGACAGGAAACACTTAACTATTCTTTAAGCATGGTCTTTCAACCAGTGGCACATCCACTTTATAGTAATTTCATCTAGACCACATTTTCCTAGTTCCCTTATGAGACTGTTATGTGGGACTGTATCAAAAGCCTTACTAAAAATCAAGATATAATCACATTTACTGCTTCCTCCCATTCAGTAAACCAGTGACCTTGTCAAAAAAGGAACTTGGATTTGTTTGGTATGATTTGTTTTTGACGAATCTATGCTGGCTATTCCTTATAACTCTATTATCCTCTAGGGTCAGCAACCTATGGCACGCGTGCCAAAGACGGCACGCAAGCCGATTTTTAATGGCATGCTGCTGCCTGCCAGGTCCGCCGGCCCTGCTCAGCCCGCTGACAAACCCAGGCCGGGACCCCGGCAGGCAGCAGCGTGCCATTAAAAATCCTGCCTGCCCCGGCTCGCTCTTCTTCTCCGCCACCCCCACCCCAATTGGGGCAGGGTGAAGAAGCTTGGTCCTGCCAGCTCCTGCTGCAGGGCAGGCAAGCTCCCCGCTCCCGAGCCTCTTCCCCCAGCGTGCTGGGTTCCTGCCCCTCCTCCTCTCCCTCCCTTCTGCCGATCAGCTGATGGTCCTTGCGAGGGAGGGGGAGAAGTGGAGCTGCAGCAAGCTCACCCTCCGTGGAGGAGGCGGAAAAGAGGTGGGGACTGGGCCTTGGGGAAGGGGAGTGGAATCAGGGCTTATCCCCTCCAGCCCCCTGCTGTGAGCTGCTCAGGGCAAGGGGCTGGGAGCAGCCCCATGACCCCAGCCCACACCCCAAGCCCTCTGCCCTGACTCCTGCACCCTCCTCACACATCCCCAGCCCTGACTCCTGCACCCCCTCACATGCCCCCAGCCCTGACTCCTGCACCCCCTCACATGCCCCCCATACCCCATGTCCTGACTCTTGCACCCCCCACATTCCCACCCCTCGCACCAAACAGGAGGTCCTATACCCACCCCCCACATTCCCACCTGCACCCCTCGCACCAAATGGGAGTTGCCCAGGTAAGCACTCCACCCCCAAACCTCCTGCCCCAACCCTGAGCCCCCTCCCTCATTCTAGCTCCTGGCCAAACCCTACACCCCAAACCCCAGCCTGTTCCTTCACCCCCAGCCCTGTGCTCAGTGCACTCCCATCCTCAGCTCAGTGCAAAGAGAGAGGAAGAGAATGGGCTAGAACCAGGGAGAAGGTGGGTACCCACTCTATATGGGCAGGGCCGGGATCTCTGACTGGCAGCGGGCTGAGCAGGGCCGGCAGCCGGGACCCTGGCTGGCAGGACACGGCGGACGGAACCCCAGACCGGCAGCGGGCTGAGCCGCTCAGCCCACTGCCAGTCTGGGATCCCGGCCACCAGCCCTGCTCAGCCCGCTGCCGGTCTGGGGTTCTGGCTGCTGGCCCCTTGCCAGCCAGGGTCCTGGCTGCAGGCCCCGCTTAGCCTGCTGCTGGCCTAGGTGAACAGAACCCCAGACCAGCAGCGGGCTGAGTGGACTGGCGGCGTAAGATCAGCATTTTAATTTAATTTTAAATGAAGCTTCTTAAACATTTTGAAAACCTTGTTTACTTTACATATGACAATAGTTTAGTTATATAATATATAGACTTATAGAGAGGAACCTTCTAAAAAAGGTTAAAATATATTACTGGCACGTGAAACCTTAAAGTGAATAAATGAAGATTCAGCAAACCACTTCGGAAAGGTTGCCGACCCCTGCTCTAGGTGATTACAAGGTAGACACATTAAAGGTTTGTGAGACACTAAGACACAGCAGTGATGGGAACCTTATAATTTCTTAAGTAAATCATTTAATTTTCAAATGTAAATTTTGAAAAAGATTTTTTTTTTTAAAAAGTCAATACTTCTACAGAAAAACTGGAACAAACTCAAGCATTAAAAAAAAGAAAAGAAATGTTCTGAATTTTCAAATATTTCTTTTAAATCAGCTCCAGTTATCACTAACATTTTAATATGTAAGAAAACCAAATTCTCTGAAAGACTAGCATCTCCCATTCTGTGGAGATATTACAGTAACTCTGGCAAGTTCTGAGAAAACTGGTTTAAACATTCTTCAGAATTTAGTTTGTTTTCCTGTAAATGTTTACAATTTCACCTTGAAATAAATATTTTAGCATAATACAATTACCCTCTTATTATAAAGAAAATTTTTACGATGTAAAATTTTCACGCTCCATTTGTAATCTCTTACAAAGTGTTTTACTGCTTCTTGAACTTCTTCTGAAAGATGAAATGCAGAAGTCAAAGTGTGGTTTTACCCTGAAAAGTGGCTAAAACGGCTGTGTCATGATTTCTGTTTGTCATCCCTCACTGATTTCTACATAGTTTACACGTAAAAAGACGATTTGACCCTAAGCGCCAGTTCTGTATAAACTCAACCTCAACATTGTACAAATTCAGACAGACTTGCCTAAGTTGCCATGGGAAAAGAACTCGAGGCAGCAAATACCTCTGCCTGAGTTTCGACCAGTGTGACTCACTGAGGTCACGGAAGGCTGGGCAGTATGACTGCACGCAGTCTGCCAGTTGAGCCCTTGTCCTTCCTGGATAGGGAGCCGGGAAACCAAGGGGAGATTGGGAAGGAAATTTCTTCTTTGGATTTGGTCTGTTGATTTTACCACACAACTCCAGGAGACAGAATGGACAAATGAATGACACAGGGAAGGAAGGTATTGTTTGGATTTTTGTTATCCCAAAAGGGGAAGGTTCATATTTGTTTAGTTTAGCTGGGGGAAACTGAGGCAGCAGGCAGGTAAGCCATTGTTGGAGGCACATGCAGCAATATTCTATACATGTGAAGATGATGGATAAACCTGTCTATCTTCTTGGGCATCAACACCAGTAAGAACATTCTGCCAGCAAAAGTCAGCCTTCAGTTATACCTGTGCAACTCCATTGCCTTCATTGCATAGGTGC